CTTACGCCCTTGCTCTTCTTCACCATGGACTTCCACCCCGTGCTTGTAGCCCCCCAGAGCCAAAGACCCCCCAGACCACAGACGCCCCGACGCAGCGTATAGCAGTAACTCCCCAGCTCGGTTTCTGTGCCGTAGTTTACAGTATTTAATTTTATATAATATATATTATTTATTAGAGTATTTTGATACCTCATCTTCTGTTTACACATCCTCCAAGCCGCGCAGTAATTCTCGTACATTCATTTAAAAACAAAAGCCACTACGACTCTTGAGAATGGCATCTACCGTGGCCACGCTGATTACCAGCACTGTTGCTGCTACCGCCACTGTCGCTGCTACCGCCGCTTCTGGTCGGTTGGTGGACTACCTATGGATGCTGATCCTGGGCTTCATCATTGCCTTTATCTTGGCCTTCTCCGTGGGGGCCAATGATGTAGCAAATTCGTTTGGTACCGCTGTGGGCTCGGGTGTAGTGACCCTGAAGCAAGCCTGCATCCTAGCTAGTGTCTTCGAAACCGTGGGCTCCGTCTTACTGGGGGCTAAAGTGAGTGAAACCATCCGGAAGGGCTTGATCGATGTGGAGATGTACAACACCACCCAGCACCTGCTGATGGCCGGCTCGGTCAGCTCTATGTTTGGTAAGTGCCTTTCAGGGAGGGGGAAGCTCATGTGCATGGTGGGGGTGGGGGGTACTTCCAATCTTGGGCCCTGCAGGTCACTATTTGCTCCAGAATCCCGGATTCACATGATGGGGTTGGACCTCCTTCCTTTGTAAAACCCGACTGTGTTCCTTTCAGGTTCAGCTGTGTGGCAGCTGGTGGCTTCCTTTTTGAAGCTTCCCATTTCTGGTACCCATTGTATCGTCGGTGCGACCATCGGCTTCTCCCTGGTGGCAAAGGGGCAGGAGGGTGTCAAGTGGTCCGAACTGATAAAAATCGGTAGGTTCAACTCTTCAGTGCCGCCATTCTTGGCAGTGTGTCGCTTGTTAACCTTGTCAGGGCAGAGATGGTGTGAAACAGGACAGATATGAACTTTAAGCTTGAAAGTAGAACACAGTAGTTATTAACCTTGACTTTCCAACTTGCAGTTGTTGACACTGTTTTCTTCATTCTATTTCAGTGCTGTCTTGGTTTATCTCTCCGCTGCTTTCTGGTATTATGTCTGGAATCTTATTCTTCCTTGTTCGTGCATTCATCCTCCGTAAGGTAATCATTTTCTTCCCTGTCATAACTTTTCAAGGTAGGGCAGCATTCTTGCTAATGTTAAAGTGTGTAGCTTTGGAAAATCAAAAGAAAAGTATTATCTGTGCACTCGTATGTTGTGTGCTCAGCAAGAAGCAAATGTTTATTATCCAAGAAGGGAAAATGGAATAGGTACTGACTTGTACTCAGAAAGGAGATAGAAGGGAAAACACGCACACTTACTTAGAATGACTTTCTTAGCTCGGCCACTTTATTTCCGCCGCCACCTTATTCAGACATTGAATTGAACGTTCGGGGCTCAATCATGTGCCCTGGAGCTTTTTCTAAGCTGCCAATTGTGGAGTAGTTTGGGTCTCTGCATAGTTCTTACAGAACTCGTTATCCCAACTAGCCTGGGTGAGGCCTCTGCCCGCTGGGAACCAGGTCTTCATTTCTCAGAATAGACAGGATAGTTCCTCCTTTCCTCAAGCAGCCATTTTATTTCTTGTCCACTTGAAAATCCCTTTGAGAAACCTGATCACTTTTCGTTTATCAAGAAGTCTGGTGCTGGGAACAAAATAAACATACATAATGAGGGATTTTGTTGGCATGGGAATGAGTTTAAGAATAAATGCATTTTTCTCAGGAAACAAAGTTGTCTTTTTCTGAGGCGAATGGCTCCTAAACGGTAGAAATTTGAGTGAAGGAGATAGCTTAATCCCAAGAGGTAAGGATGTATTTAGACCCACTTGTCTGGTCTAGTTTTAAGCTTCTCTAGGGAAGGATTTGTACCATGTCTTTACAGAAACTCTGTAACTAGAAAATGATTGTGATCACTGTGTTCTGTAACCTGAAGTCTGACAGGATGTAGCAGTTTAACTTTTGAAGACTTGAAACTTAAGTAACTGGTTACTGTTGACTTGGTTTTGACTCATACCCACCCCCTGGTGTCATAGTGGTTAAGGTGTTGGCTTGTTAACCACAAGGTCAGCAGTTCAAAACTACCAGCGGCTCTATGGGAGAAAGATGAGGCTTTCTATTCTGTAGATATTTACAGACTCAAACCCACAGGGCAGTTTTATCCTGTCCTATAATAGGGTAGCTGTGAGGTGGCATCTACCACTTGAGTTAAACTCATCTGCAAGGTTTCTAAGGAGCCCTGGTAGCACAGTGGGTTACCCATTAGGGTGCTAACCTCAAAGTCATCAGTTCGAAGCTGCTATGTGCTCTGTAGGAGAAAGATGAGGCTTTTTTTACTCCTGTACGAAGTTAGTCTCAGAAACCAACAGGCTCGACATTGCCCTGTATGGTTGCTTATAAGTCAGAATTGACCTGATGACAGTTTGGTTTTGGCATAAGGTTTTATGTTAGGCTGGGTTATCCAGAGAAACAAAATCATTGACACTCATGGATTAGAAAACTTTGTGTCAAGAAGGCAGCCCAGTGCAACCAAAGTCCATCGGTCCAATTATAGCCAGAGCCCTCTTAAGACTTATGCAGCTAGCTGTAGGCTGTTCACGCAGAAAGGTGGCGAGGGATGCAGGAAGACACAGGCTGGGGGTGTGCAGAGTCAAGTGGATCTAAGATCAGTGGAAAGGTGAAAACGTGGCAGGACGCTGACAGCTCTGAGGGCCGGACAGGCCATGTGGGGTCACCCATGGAGGTAGCCACAGAGTCCCAGCAAGCAGGAAGTTGTGAAGGGGAGTGGTCCCTAGTGTCTCAGAAAAGGCCACATCTCCCAGGAGGCATTGTCAGGCTCACCTTTGTCCTGTGGAGCAGCTAGGGCAGCGGGTCTCAACCTAGGGGTCGAACGACCCTTTCACAGGGGTCACCTAAGACCATATTTCCAATATGGTCAGAAAATACCAAAAAAATCGGTATTTTTTGCAATATCTACTGTGAAGTACTGGAACCAAACAATATATTTGAGATGTATATAGAACCCTCATGGATTTAAATATTTGGAGGGTGAGGGCAAGTGAATGCATTGGGTTAAATGTTGGACTGCTTCTAACTTTATGTTAGAGGTTCATACCTACCAGCCACTCCACAAGAGAGGAATGAAGCTGCTCCTGAAGATTGAGGGGTTCAGACGTGCATATTAAGGAGCAATTGTATTCTGTCCTATAACATTGCTGAGTTAGAATTGACTCAATAGCAAAGGGTCATTTGTTTTGGGTTTTTTTTGAAGAGACCCTGTTGCAGTGATTTTTTTTTTTTCTTCAAGCTGTTGTCTGTTAACGAAAGGTTGCAGTGGTGACCCCACCAGTGGCTCTGTGGGAGAAAGACGTGGCTGTATAGGTTACAGTCTCAGGACCCTATGATGGTTGTATTCTGTTTTACAGGGTTGCCTTGAGTCATGAGTAACTCCATGGCAATTAGTTTGGGCTTAAATCTCTTGGAGAGGATCCTAAAAAAGTATGGATAGACGTTAGAAGAAAATACCTCAGGTTTATAACCTGGAAGGAGCCTTGGTGGCGCAGTAGCTAGTTTGGCTGCTAACTGAAAGGGCAGCAGTCTAAAACCACCACTGGCTGCTGCTCTGGGGAAAGACGGGCTTTCTACTCTCATAGAGTTAAACACTGTCCTGTAGGATCACTATGAGTCCGGCGCATTGATTTGATGGCAGTGTGTTTGGTTTGTTTTTGAAAACTTTGCTGACTACCCGCAGTGTGGCTAATCCACCCGCTGCCATTGGGTTGATTGTGACTCATAACCATATAGGACAGAGTAGAACTGCTTCTAGAGCAGTGGTTCTCAACCTTCCTAATGCCGCGACCCTTTCGTGCAGTTCATGTTGTGACCCCCAACCATAAAATTATTTTCGTTGCTATTTCATAACTCATTTTACTGCTGTTAATGAATCGGGCGACCCCTGTGACCTCTCATTCGACCCCCCCCTCCCAAAGATCATGACCCACAGGTTGAGAACCGCTGGTCTAGGGTTTCCCATTGTCCATTTTGACAGGTGCAGATGGCCTCATCTTTTCCCTTGGAGCGGTTAGTGGGATCAAGGTTAGCAGCCCAGTGCTAGCCCATAGGGGCTCCGCAGTGTGACTAATATTGGTGAAACGTTACTCAGATGTGCTTAGCCATTCCTAGGTTCTAGTCTACTGGATTTGTTTTGATGATTTCATCATCTTTTCTCTTAGCTTATGGACAAACCAAAACCAGTGACAGAGAAGTTTTATTCTGTGAAGTCTATTGATTTGAAACAGCACCCAAATCACAAATGAGTTTATGCCTGAGCCTTTGTTTCATTTTTACACTACTACCTCATTCTGTCCCCAGGTACTGATTATTTGTATCAGAAACTTTGCACTTCAGGTTCTCTATGCTCTGTCCCTGTGTTCCCTCTCCGCACCCTCATTTCTCATGGTAACTACGCCTGAGATAATATTAAACCATAAAGTTAATGCCCTGGTGGCTTAGTTGTTATTTGTTGGGCTGCTCACTACAGGGTGGTCAGCAGTTTGAAACCACCAACCACTCAGCAAGAGATAAACGAGGCTAAAGAGTTAGAATCTCAGAAACCCACAGGGCCAGTTCTGCCCTGTTCTTGAGGGTCGCTGTGATTTGGAATTGACTTGGTGGCAGAGAGGTGTTTTTTTAAAAATTTTTTTATTTAAGTTGGTGCTCTTGTTCACTTCCTGTAGAATTAATGCACATTCATTTTAAGTGGAATTCTTGTCATTTCCAGTCACACTGGCCTCCTGGCTGTTGAAGGCCATTGTATTTGCTAGTATGCCTGTCTGGATAATTAGCCAGGGGCCTTGCTGTTATTTACCCTTAGTGATTTATAGGGTTGTTGACTTGCTACGTTTATGTCCTTACACCTCTTTCTCCAGTGACACTCATTCCCGACTGGCCCGATCTCTGAATGAAAACGTGCCCATCCTATCACCGTCTTTAGCCGTTATTTTTTTATAGTACTTGTTAGTGCTTAGCATTCTCGAATGTGAATGCTAGCTCTGTGATGCAGCTGTATTCTGGTGCTCAGTGGTGAACTAGATACGGTTGGTTTTTGTCTCAGTACTCTGGTAAAGCATCATGGTGCGTTTGTGTTTTTGTTGCAGATACGGTGTCCTACAGACTTTATCTTTTAAAAGTTTCATAAAAGCATATAAAATAGTGTGTCCTGACATCTCATGGTTGTGATCTTGACATCTTCCAGAAACGTGTAGGATGTTTTTATGTATGCACTTCTTTCTATAAACAGTTTTATTGGCATATAATTCACAAGTCATATAATTCAGTAGTTCAGTCATATGATGAGCTGTACAATCATCACCACAATCAATTTTAGAACATTTTCTTCATTCTTGTTCTCAGCGTTATTAGCTCCTTATCCCCAAGAAACCATTAATACACTTAAGGTTTTCCTTAATGCTGGTTATAGTCTCTCTAGATTTACCTATTCTGGATTTCATATACAGAGAAACATTTAAAACACAACAAAGCTGACAGCAATAACAGTAAAACAGAAAAGCCACAAAGGAAAATAAAGCAGAAAATATTAAAACCTAGACCAAATTTAAAATGAGTCAAAGGAGAGATCAAATGATTAAAAATACTACATTTTGGGTGCATAAGCAAATGTGGTGAAGAAAGCTGATGGTGCCCAGCTATCAAAAAGTATAGCGTCTGGGGTCTTAAAGGCTTGAAGGTAATCAAGCGGCCATCAAGCTCAGAAGCAACAAAGCCCACATGGAAGAAGCACACCAGCCTATGCAACTATGAGGTGTCGAAGGGATCAGGTGTAAGGCATCATCAGAACAAAAAATCTTACCATAGTGAATGATGGGGGGAGTGCAGAGTGGAGATCCAAAGCCCATTAGTAGGCCACTGGAGATCCCCTTGCAGAGGGGTCTAGGGGAGGAGATGAGCCAGTCACGGTGCGATGTAACAATGATGAGAAATACAACCTTCCTCTAGTTCCTAAGGGTTTCCTCCCCGCTCCCACTACCATGACTTGAATTCTATCTTGCAAGACTGGCTAGACCAGAGGAGGTACACGGGTACACAGGGAGGGTAAAGGGAGAATGGGTAGGAAAGAGGGAACCGATTACATGGAACTGTGTGTGACCTCCTCCCTGGGGGACAGACAACCGAAAAGTGGATGAAGGGAGACGTCGGACAGGGCAAGATATGACAAAATACCCATTTATAAACTATCAAGGGCTCATGCGGGAGGGGGGAGCGGGGAGGGAGGGAAAAAATGAGGACCTAATGTCGGGGGTTTAAATGGAGAGAAAATGTTTTGAGAAACGATGTACAAATGCGCTTTACACAATTGATGTGTGTATGGATTGGGATAACAGTTGTATGAGCCCCTAATAAAATGTTAAAAAAGAGGAAAAAAATAAATAAAAACAAAAACAAAAAAAACTATCTACCATCAAATCTGGAGTTATAGCCTGTGGAGATGGATAAAATTTCTCTGTATTCCAATGGAGATAAGTCTGTCATATCTTGACATCTCTCTATAAACCTTAAATTCTGGATCAAAAAACAAACTACATTTTAACCTAAGGATGTCTCCCATAATCAGCTTTTCAATGCTCTGTCTGATAGGCTACCCATATCTCTCAATTATGGTGAGAGGGAATTCACCAAAGGCTTCATCTGTATGTGGACCCTGCACATGGATTTTGGGCTTCCGCTATCATCCATAGCTGCCCTATGCACTCAGACTTCTAAGAAGAATTTTGACTTCTAAGGCCCTCAGAATGGAGGTGTGAGAATCTGATTATTCTAGGTGTCATTAGTCATTGCTGTAGGTAGTGAGATTATTTAAAAGTGCGTGCCCACACAAACACAGGACGACGAATACACTGGAGATGCCAAACAGTTATGGAAAGTTAAGATCAGGGAGAAAATGAGATTGACTTTGGTAAGGAGGAAGGCTTGTAGGAGCGTGTGCAGGGAAAAGTTCTGCCCTTGGAAACTAATGTGAAGTAGACTCTACTTCCTGATCCAGCCTTTTATAAGATCTTGTGGAAATGGGTAAACTTTTATAGCTCTTAATGTATTGATCCGGAATGGTGTTTTACAGGCAGATCCCGTTCCGAATGGTTTGAGAGGGTTGCCAATTTTCTATGCCTGCACAATTGGAGTAAATCTCTTTTCCATCATGTATACTGGAGCACCTTGTAAGTACATACTGAAACGTTTAAATGTGAATTTCACATGGTTTATAAAACTTGCATTAAATGCCCGATTTACCCCTTTTTGCTTTACAGGGCTGAAATCTCCTAGAAGGTGGCTGGCCTGCGCCCATTTCAGAAGGCTGCAGGCTAGTGTATGCTGACTTAACCTAGATAGGTTTTCAACCAGAGACCTGCTCAGATTCTAAATCACTACAGACCTTTCCTCTTTAGTCTTCACAGGATCCACCTATAATATGCCTTCTCCTTCTCTTTCTTCTACCTCTAAAAATGCTGCAATTGATACTGACCTCGACTGCTGAAGAGGCATTAGTTATATCTGGTCTTCAACAATCAGCCCTTTATGACTAGTTAAATGGATTTCGATTTTTCTTTCCCAAATGGAGTTACTTTTATTTCTAAGTACTAAATGTACTTCCTGAATCTGCTTGAATGAGAAGAGTTGGCATGTTTAACAGCTGGTCTAAGTGTACTTGGAAGAATTCATGCAGCTAACAGGATAAAAATAATTTATGAGAATGTAAAGATCGAAATGTTTACATTTATGCTGGGACTAAGGCAAGGCATGGATTAAATCACAGCTATAACTGTATAACTTAACAATTACCAACGATGAATAGCATGTCAGGCAGGCAGAGTACATGCCTTGGCTAGCTGGCTCTGTAGGCCCATTTGGATTGATGGTAGACTTTTCAAGATTTTGACTGACCTACTGGAAGAAATACATTGTTGCCCAGCGCATGCATGCTCTGTGTGGAGAGAGCGTGCTTAGAGAGCACTACCTAGATAATTGAAATAGTGTTAGGAATTTACTTAAGTCTAATTCACTCATATTTTCCAACTATGTATTTTTCTTTTTTTAAAAAATAAGTCATTTTATTGGCTCTTACAGCTCTTATAACAAATAACCCATACATAAATTGTATCAAGTACATTTGTACACAAGTTGCCGTCATCATTGCGGAAACATTTTCTTTTCAACTGGAGCCCTTGGTTTTTTCCTTTTGGGGGGTAGGGTGGGGTTTTTTCCCTTAATGCTGATCATAACTCACTAAATTTTATTGGGTTGTGACTTTTTCAGCCACATCTAAGTAATATCAGTGACTGAAAATGGAATTCTCTAAGTAACTAACCTTGTCTTTGTTTCTGGAATAATTAAGAAAGTTAGCTACTTTGTGGGGCTGTTGCTCTCATTCATCACATTAGGGAGACCAGACTTGTTACTCAGAATGGTGTGCTTGAAGAAAGAATTGCTTTGTTTGCATTTGTTTTCATGCTAAACAAGGAGAATCCCCCAAGATTAAGCATGGATGGCTTATTTATGGTGGCTAGGTGCAGAGTTCAGTGACATTAGAAACACCTTTTTTTAATTAATCTTAACAAATCTTTTGATAATCCATCACATTTTCAATTATTGTTGAGAATAGGGACTTGAATATTTTGTTCTTTGTGGATCATTCATCAGAAAAACTAGTTTTTGTTTCTTCTCTTTTTGACTTTTGGAAAGTAGGCAGATTTACACTGTTGGGGATTGATGGAATTTCAAGTATAGTTCAGTTTGACTTACCCACATCATAAAAATTGAAAAAAATGGAAATTAAGATAAAAAGGCTGTAGTCACAGAGTTTTAGTTTTGGAAGAAATCTCAGTTTAATTGGATTTTAAAAGATTAATCATGAGACAGTGGAATTTGTTTCATAAGTCATTTAGTTCTTAATAAAGTACAACCATCACAAGTCACTAAGCTGATTTGGCATGCTGTGCAGATCAGTAACGTTCCTTAGGTTTAGTTGGATGGTCCTTGATTATGTGGATTCTTCGTGACCACCACCAGACAGTTTTTCTTCTGTGAGAGAGCTCTGCAGGTGAATTTTATCTGACAGAGAATATTGGTAATAATTTTGAAAGAGAGAATACCTTGTTAGAAGGTTTTACTGGAGGATAGGCAGAGATATGATAACTTTTCAGTGGAGGATTTCATCAGCCCGACAAATCGGGCGTCTTAAACATCAAGTCTGCATGTCCTGACGGCCTGTTGAGTGAGAGTGGAGTAAGTAGTGGGCAAGTCCTCAAGATGCAGTCGTCTTTCGTGCCTTCAAAAATGAAGGGAAGGGAATCGTCGCAGGGATTTTAAGCAGGAGTGTAAGATAACTACTGGATTTTTCTCACAAATGGAAAACTTGATTTATTTCTATTGCTGTTATCACTGAACCCTCTGGCACTGCAGCTGATAGCAGCTGTGAAAGGTGACGGGCTGGCTTGGGGAACCCTCCGAATCCCAGGAGGGCTTACACATTATTGCCGGGGGCTTTTGCCCTGCGGTTTTCAAGATGCACCATTTTATCTCCTAGTGCTGGGCTTTGACAAACTTCCTCTGTGGGGCACCATCCTCATCTCGGTGGGATGTGCAGTGTTCTGTGCCCTTATCGTCTGGTTCTTTGTATGTCCCAGGATGAAGAGAAAAATTGAACGTAAGTAACTGCTTGTAGCAGCAAAATATAACTCTGTACATGCTTATTTATGTTAATTTGATCTCCTTTAAAAGTCTGCATAAATTGGTAGTGCAAGGACTCCTCAGAGGGTATGGTTTATTGCCCCAAGTAATTTTTGGTGCCGTGAGTCATAAGGGATACTGGACAATGTGTTTTCTCACTGTACCTGAAACCGATGCAGTGGCATCGTAGTGAAATAGAAGCGGTGGCCTACATTAATTGAAAAGTGCAGGTGCCTTAATACAAAGAGGCAAGGACAGAACATTTTTGGTGGAGCAACTATTTATCCCAACTACTTAAACGAGTTCTCAGTAGTCACCCATGCAAGCAAAGTACAATATGCATATCTGACTGTAGATCTGGTTAATTCTCAGGTTAATAACTCAAGTTATTAACTACCAATCCTAGAGGAAAACATTTTTAACTGACAGGTGAGAAAATCATTTAGGCCATATTATACCTGTCTATTTACATGCTGAGTAGATTCTGATAGATTTCTCATTTAAATCTTGTATTCCTTTCATTCGTGGCTAAGATCTCTTCGAATACCCTTTTTTTTGCCTTTTTTATCTATGCAAATACATTGTCTGTGGTCTGGAGTGTGTTCTGTAAAAGCCAAGGGCTGCACAGACTGCAGTGGGACTCGGCAGAGTGCTGCGTCACTGCAGCTCAGCTGAAGGGCCTTGGAGAGAGACTGCTCGTCTGGCTGGAATGAGGCTTCCCAGACTGCCCGACCTTGTTTTCTTCCTCTGTGTGAGAAGACGGCAAGTTTTGCTTGACTGCAAAACCTGAAAGAATTGCCTAGTTCTCTTGAGCATTGACACGATAGGCAGGAACTGTTCCTACCTGGCATGGAATTTACAACAAGGAAGATTCTGAGACTGAGACAATCATTTTGAGAATGAAGAGCTAGACGTTAAAGTTGTCATTTTTAATTGATTGTATTGAACTATTTTGCTTGAGCTCTTGGGCTGAGGTTGGGGGGGGGGTCCCCTTTAAAACAGAACAAAGTGAATGAGGTGCGTTCTAGGTGCTGGAGCAGCTCCCAGTGCTGCCTTGGCGTGGCAGGGAGACAAAGACTGGTGGGCATCTTGGTTTTCTGATGCTGCTGTAGCAGACATGCACACCACCAAACAGCAGCTGGTTTTCGCTCAGTTCTAGGGGATTAGAAGTCGTTAAGTCAGCCAACTCTGCAGGGAAGACTTTCTGCCAGTTTGGGGAAAGGTTCTTGTCAATCTTCATCTATTTCTTGGTGATTTTTGTCACTGCCATCGATACAGGACACCCCCTGCCCCCAATCTGCTCTGCTACATCTGAAAAGATAACTGATTTAACACACCTTGTGCTGATTTCTGCCACATGACACCACGAAGAAAATATTTTTCGTATTTTGTTAGCTTTGTAAAACCCATTCTCAAATGAGACTATAACTAGTTTATAAGGCTTAGGGTTCGCAACACACATGGGAGGGTATGTAATCCAACCCATCACAAGGTTGTCAAGGCAGAGAGGAAATTATATGCGCTCGCAAACCTAGAAGAATGACCATCTGGCTTTTTGCAGAAAACATTTCCCAGCTCTTGATAATAGGCTCTTCTGCATTGATGTTATAAGATTAGTTGTAGACAAATAATAAAGCAGACAAAGACATTGTCCTTAGCTATAACTAATTTGCATGTGTTCTTATGAGATAGATTTTTGTGGGGAGAGAGAAGGAGTCTTGTGTGAAAGTTAGTGTGATCAAAAAAACCCTTCTTTTCTAGGAGAAATAAAGTCCAGTCCTTCTGAAAGTCCCTTGATGGAGAAAAAGAACAGTTTGAAAGAAGACCATGAGGAGACCAAGATGTCTTTTGGTGACATTGAAAGTCGGGGCTCTGTTTCTGACGTCAGCCCTGCCGCTGTGCCCCTCCGGGCTGTGGTGGAGGAGAGGGCTGTCTCATTCAAGCTGGGGGACTTGGAGGAAGCTCCCGAGCGAGAGAAGCTTCCCAGCATGGACCTGAGAGAGGAAATCAGCATAGACAGTGCCATAAATGGTGAGTGGGAATCTCTTGAGTTGGGGGCAGGAAGTAGTTTTGGACTGTAAAGGCCATTGATGCTCATATCGTGTGTTACCTTTTTGGTCTTGGGCAGGTGCCATGCAGTTGCCTAATGGAAACCTTGTTCAGTTTAACCAAGCAGTCAGCAACCAGATAAACTCCAGTGGCCACTACCAGTATCACACCGTGCATAAAGATTCTGGCCTGTACAAAGAGCTCCTCCACAAATTACATCTTGCCAAAGTGGGGGACTGCATGGGAGACTCTGGTGACAAACCTCTGAGGCGCAACAATAGCTATACTTCCTACACTATGGCAATTTGTGGCATGCCTCTGGATTCATTTCGTGCCAAAGAGGGTGAGCAAAAAGCTGAAGAAATGGAGAAGCTGACGTGGCCTAATGCAGACACTAAGAAACGGATTCGCATGGATAGTTACACCAGCTATTGCAATGCTGTGTCTGATATCCACTCGGCCTCCGAGATGGATGTGAGTGTCAAGGAAGAGATGTCTCTGGGTGACAGAAAAGGAAGTAGGGGCTCTCTAGAAGAAGAATGGTACGACCAGGATAAACCCGAAGTGTCTCTCCTCTTCCAATTTCTCCAGATCCTCACGGCCTGCTTTGGGTCATTTGCCCATGGTGGCAATGATGTCAGGTTAGTAGACACTGAGTTTCTGTGTTGCTTTTTCTATTTTCAAACTGTCTTAGCCATTTTTTTTTTTTTTTAAGACTGAAAGGACACAATGGCCATGATGCACCATACAGGAGACCCTGATTAATCTAGAGAGAATGAGATAATAGCAGTTATTGAAGTAAAGTCTTACTCTGCAGAGGGGTTACAGAGAATGTTTGTAACTTTGTTTCTTGAGGTGACCAACATGTTATTCACGGGAAAGCCTTTTTCCTATCAAGACAGGAACAAGTCCTCCTGTAGTAAATAATAGTATAGAAGATGAACACAAAACCATGGTCCTATAGCATGAATGTATGTTGTTAGCCATAGTTCTGTGATTTATAAACTTTGTTGGAACCCAGGTGTTTTAAGCTACCTGTGGAAGGTGACCAACTGTGCGAACCTCCTCCACAGAAGCTGCTAATCTTAGCCTGGTTTTGTGTAGGGTAGGCTTCCATGTTCGTTTTTTGCAGGGGAGTCATCTGCCATGTGAGCTTAAAGGCTGAGCTTTAGATAACACTAGTCTGTTGGCAAGCCGGGGTCATAATGGTTCTGTCTGAAAAGCCATCTGTGCCCTCTTTTTTCTTTCCAGCAATGCCATTGGTCCTCTGGTTGCTTTATATCTGGTTTATGAGACGGGAGATGTTTCTTCAAAAGCTGCAACACCAATATGGCTTCTCCTCTATGGTGGTGTTGGCATCTGTATTGGCCTGTGGGTCTGGGGAAGGAGAGTTATCCAGACCATGGGGAAAGATCTGACTCCAATCACCCCTTCTAGGTGAGTTCCTTTTTATTTATTTATCTATTTATTTATTTATGTTTTTGTTTCTAGGTGAGTTCTAACAGGCCAAGGAGTGGCATATTCTTTTTTCTTAAGAAATTATGTAGTAGTATAACACATTCATCATTCTTTAGATAAAGTGACCAAGTTCACATAAGCAAGTTTTTTTTCCTTAATGTATGGTCCTTATAAACGTGATCTTGGGTAACCACTCATCTTTTGAAGTCGGGTAGTCTGTAACAGTATGTTTCCTGAGAAACTTTTTTATTTTCCTGAGAAACATTTGTGTGCTAAGAATGAAGAGCTGTGAATGCGTGGCTTGTACTGGTCTTGCCTTGGGATCAAAGTGCAGACAGCCCATTTAATAATGGGTTTCCAGAGGAATTTAAAACCTCAATCAAACGTTCGAGGAGTGGGGAAGAGTGTATATACTATGGCTCAATTTCATTGTCAGAGCAAGGAGCAGAGAACAGTATCAGTGGGAGTTTTGTCACCAAGCAGAGCAAAGCAAAATGATTTTAGCTTTTGAAGTGCCAGCTTTTCAAAAATCAAACTAAATGATTCACTGGTGTTTTTCTTTTCCTTTGTGGCCTGTCTGCAGTGGCTTCAGTATTGAACTGGCATCTGCCCTTACTGTGGTAATCGCATCAAATATTGGCCTTCCCATCAGTACAACACATTGTAAAGTAAGTCTAAATGTCATGTATCTGCTGATTGGTTCCAGAAATACACAGGTTCTTTGCACATAGTTCTATTTAGAAAGCTTATGCAGTAGTTTTGAAGGGTCTGCAAGTTTAGGGCGAGCTGACTTTTGGAATCTTTCTAAAAGCTTACATCTCAACCTTTTTGTGTGTCTGCCCATTCGTACTTAAGCAGCTAATGTGTATTCATCCACAGGGGTTTAAAAGTCATATACAGGGAACTAGTTAGGATTTCTAGTTTATAGTTGCTTGTAATTTTTTATTCTTTTGTCACTTCTACTTAGCATTATTTATATGTTCTTTGGGGCCCCATTCAGAGTAGTGTGGATGTGTGCTAATAAACTAGCTGGCTTTGTGTAGTTCTGGCTGTCTTATAAGCCCATTTTCCCATGAGCTTTCTGGAAGTCCCCTTGCAGAGTAATAAGAAAAAGGAGAAACTAGCTTCTTTAAGGAAATTCCCATCAGGTGAGGGAACCTGGTGAGTCATCTTTTTTTTTTTTTGCCAGAATCTCTCCAGGTGATCCTCTGTTGTTAATCTTTGTCACCACCCTCCAGCTTAATATTTGGAAAATCTAAAATTTTAAGTAGTTTAACGTAGTTTATTATTACGTCAACACAGTTAAGAATTTTCAGTAACTCAGGGAAAACCAAAAGGTTCTTATTTAATTCCGGTATGCAGGTTGAATTAGTGGATCTTTTTATTACCTTCACTTTTCTAGGAGTAGTTGCCTTGAACTATTACAAACCCGTTTCATGGAGTCCGACTTCGCCATTCATCTGGGAGCTCCTTATTGAATAATGTCCATGTGTACCCACCACTTGTCAATTTGTCAACGTGGTGGTGACTTGCCAGCGTGTCGTTGGCACTTGAAGAACCCTTTTCCTTGATCTCTTTCTGTAGGTGGGCTCTGTTGTATCCGTTGGCTGGCTCCGATCTAAGAAGGCTGTTGATTGGCGACTCTTCCGCAACATCTTCATGGCCTGGTTTGTCACAGTCCCCATTTCCGGAGTGATCAGCGCTGCAATCATGGCGGTCTTCAGATACGCCCTCTAGAGCGAGAAGCTGTTTGGGATGGGCCACCTTGCCCATCCCTGCGCCCTTGGAGAATGACTACAGTGTTACAGGAGAGTCCTTCAAGTGTGGGAGCCGGGGGAGGGAAGTGTTATTTGTGCTATAATTGCTTTTGTGCTAAATATGACTTGTCTCAAAATTAGCTTTGTAAAATAGCCAGATTTCCTCTGGTTCCTAACAAAGTCCCTTTCCCTCTGGGCTGTGAATTCCTGTACATATTTCTCTACTTTTTGTATCAGGCTTCAATTCCATTATGTTTTAATGTTAAAAAAAAAAAAGTAAGAAATCACAGCTTATCTGCAGAGACAACCTCCATTCAGAGCCAATTGACAGGCGTGTGCTCTGCTTTGATTTCACCAGCTTATGCCCGACCACGCACAGGGATTGACCATCATAAAATTACACCGAAGCTCCCTTGTAGTCTCATAGAAATAGAGTCATATGCACTCTGCCCTCCTGTCAGAGTAGTGCTGGGTTCTCTTGACATACGGGCGGACCTTCCTGGAGGGATGAGAGTCTTTGGAAGCATTGAACATTTAAGTTCGTAGTAACTTCTTTGAAAGCATTTTAATGACTTGTTGCTAAGAAGTAGGAAGAAAATATCTCCCAGGAATCTTGGTTATTTCTTCTAAGATTTCTGGCTGTGTGGGATGGATGAATGAAGTGGAATGTAAATTTGGGCAAGTTAAACGGGACAGCCTTCCATGGTCATCTGTCTACCTCTTAACTGAATAAAAACCTACAGTTTTTAGAAAACGTTTTTTCTGGCGTTTGTTCGTGTTTTGTTGCATGTGGGACATCGGGCTCCTGCAGTCAGCTCTGCATTTCTCGGGGGTGAAGGTCTTCCAAGTGAGCTGCTGCTAGCTCCAGCTTCCTCACGCCTTCCCATGAACTTTCTCTTTGTTTGATCCCTGACATTTTCTTTCCTTTGTTAAAAAAAATAGCTTTATTGGCATGTAGGTCACATGTAATTTACATCACCACGATCAATTTCAGAACATTTTCTTCTTGTACTTACCATTGTTGGCTCCCCATTTCTCCCTAACCTCCCTGACATGCCCTTAGGTAATTAGTAGTCCAGTTACTGTTTCTGTAGACACACCCATCCTGGATCTTATATATGGAAAATCATTTAAAAAGCACAGGAAAGCTTTCTTTTAGATTGTGGGGTTTTTTGTTTTGTTTAGTGATCCCTGATATTTTCTAGGTGCATCAGGCCATAAAAGCCAATAACCTGTTGGCATTAGACGTTTTTGTCTTTACACTTTAGTTTGGACATATTCATGTTACCATATGTAAATCTACATAATTTTAAACAGCCACAAAGTTTTGTTTCATTAATGAGTTCCAATTCATAATGACCTCATCTAAGTGTTCATAGTAGAACTCCATATTGAGTTGCTAATCTCAAGGTCAGAGGTTCAAACCCACCAGTCAGGAAGAAGGATGAAACTCTACTTCTGTGAAGATTCAAAGTCTCAGAATCCACAAAAGGCAGTACTGTATCCTGTAGGGTCACTATGAGTAGGAATTGACCCTGGCAGTGAGTTAGTTTTGACCTTTTAATCAAAATTGCTTGGTCTGTGTCTTCTGATCATCCGGAGGGTGAGTTTAAACTATCAAAACTTTTCTGTTAGTGCTAGGATTGTTAGTTTTTGCTGCCAACATTATTAAGCAAGTGAGTATGTATGTAGCAGTTTCATTTGAACTATTTCAGGTTTCTTCAATCTTGATCCATGACCTTTTTCTGGTGATTACGATAGTTACATGGGTGTGTTATTTCTTTGCAAAAATAGGTGGTTTCCTATTCTGAGAATCGTAGGACAATGCTTTTTAGGTTGTTTGTTTTTAATCCAAGGATTAATTGATTTATGCATATTTTAACAAATGACCAGTGTTAATACAGCAAGGCTCAGGTGTATAGGGTTGGGCAGGCAGTTCTTAAAGGTAAGGCAGTTCTACCCTGCCCTATAGGGTTGCTGTGAGCCACAACTGACTTGGTGGCAGTGCATTTGAATTTTATTTTTAAGTGGATTTCCTGAGAGAAAGATGAGGCTTCCTCCAAAATGTCTGTCTTGGATGGGTCAAAATTGACTCCGTGGCAGTGAGTGTTTTAAAATTTTTTTAGTGTAATTTCCCAAGATCGCCCTTTTAGTTTCAAAGAGGACAACAGTAACTTAGACCAAAGAAATGTTAGTCTAGCTAGGAAGGAGCAGCCAGACTCAGTGAGGAGGGAACCCACAAAGCTAGAAAGATAAGATTTTGACTCTGACCCCTACAGGGTAGGAGAAGCATTGCTCCTTAGGGTTTCTGAGACTGCGTGGAGTGAAAGTGGGTTCCAACTGCTACCCTCTGGTTAGCAGTCCAATGCTTAGTCCGTGGTGCCTCCAAGGCATGATCTACATTCCTGGAAGCTGGGCCAGGGACACCTGCTGGTGAGAACCTGGCCTATTTTTCTGGGACATAGGTTAATACCTTTAGTCAAAAATCGTTACTATTTAATGTATGTGTGCATATTACAGAATCAGCTCAACAACTTGTAATAAAACCGGTCTCCTGCCACCATTTTCTTCTTTCCAGAAGCCACCATTACTCTGTTCTTTTGGTGTGTACTTCCCGTGTATCTAAAGAATAGGCCTGTCATTACGACTTTTTATTTTTTGACAAGCTCTTAACCTTGCACAGTGAAACATGTTAAGTTTGAAGCTTTGCCTACCGTACACACTTCCTAATCTCCCACCTTCAGGTATAATTGGTTCTTAATTTTGATGAAATCAATATTGTGAGCGTTTGAATGCTGTCCTTGAGCTGCTGCTGCTGGGTCTTACAATCAATACACCATGTCTATCATGACCACTGTCCTTAGTTTTGATTCCTCGCAGTGAAGTTGTCTGTCTTACCTGACCCTTTTTTTAATGCAAACTTCTTACCTGGTCCATCCCAAAATTCTCCAGTTTGAATTTCCTCAGGATTATTAAAAGAATTGGGACGGTTCTTCATTTCGTTCCCCTGAGGAAGGCTGGCCCAAAGCTGTTGATGTGTTGCAGTCTGGGCAGGTTTCACAGCTGTATCCTAAAACTCCATTATTGGGGAGATGTCTTTGTTCTCTGTTGGATTTCCTGTTTCCTGCAGTCCTCCTGTAGTTTTTATTGCCCTATCCTTCGTTTTTGTGGTGTGCACACTTGAGTAGCTAGGGTAGCTTTTTTTTTTTCCTTTTAATTTTTTAAAGTCATTTTATTGGGGGCTTGTACAACTCTAATCACAATCCATACATCCATTGTGTCAAGTACACTTGTACTTTGTTGCCATCATTATTCTCAAAACATTTTTTACTTGAGCCCTTGGTATCAGCTCATTTTTCCCCTTCCTCCCTGCCCCCTGCCTGAACCCTTGATAATTTATAAATTATTATTATTTTGTCATGTTTTAACGCTGTCCAATATCTGCTTTACCCACTTATATATAGACCCTTGTGATCGGTTCTTCCTTTCTACCCCACCTTCCCCTTAACTTCCTGGTATCACTACTCTCATTATTGGTCCTGAGGGGTTTAACTTCTGGATTCCCTGTGTTTCCAGTTCCTATCTGTATCAATGTACATCCTCTGGTCTTGCTGTTTTGTAAGGTAGAATTGGGATCATGATGGTGGAGGGGAGGAATCATTAACGAACTAGAAGAAAGTTGTATGTTTGATCAGTGCTATACTGCACTCTGGCTGGCTCATCTCCCCGAGACCCTTCTGTAAGGGGATGTCCAGTTGCCAACAGATGGGCTTTGGTCTCTACCCGAGATTCCCCGTCATTCATAATGATAGGATTTTTTGTTCTGGGTTTTTGATACCTGATCCTATTGACACCTCATGATCACACAGGTTGGTGTGATTCTTCCATGAGGGCTTTGTTGCTTCTCAGCTAGATGGCCGCTTGTTTATCTTCAAGCCTTTAAGACCCCAGACACTGTATCTTTTGATAGCCGGGCACCATCAGCTCTCTTCACATTTGCTTATGTACCTACTTCTGTCTTCAGCAATCGTGTTGGGAAGGTGAGCATCATGGAATGCCAGTTTAATAGAAAAAGTGTTCTTGCATTGAGGAAGCACTTGAATAGAGGCCCAATGTCCATCTGCTACTTTAATACTAAACCTATAGATGTGAGCACATAGATCTATTTCCCCATCCCCATATATAAATATATTTACATATGTACATGCCTGTATTTAGACCTCTATAAATGCTCTTTGCCTCCTACTTCTTTCCTCTATTTCCTTTTACTTTCCTCTTGACCCACTATCATGTTCACTCTTCATTTGGCTTTCAGTAATTCCTCTCAGTTACATTGTCTTTGATCAAGCCCTACCAGGCCTCCTACACTTCTTTGCCATCGATTTTGGATACTTGTTCCCTGTTCTGGGTTTGTTGACACCCACTTCCTTGCCCCCAAGCCCCCCCTCTCCCATGTCCCCCAGAATGTTTGGTCTGTTGTTTCTTCCTCCATATTGTTTATCCCGCCTCTCTTATCTAGATAGATATGCAGAGATTAAAATATGCACAAAAAACAAGAGCAAAACAAAGCAACACAAGAAAACAGCAAAAAAACAATGACAAAGAAAATCCTGTAAAGAGTTGAAGGTCTGAAAAAAAAAAAAAAAAAAGAGTTGAAGGTCTGTTGACCTTTAGGAGTGTTTTCCCATAGAGTCTGATGGGGTGCCGCACCCTGGCCCCAAAGTCTATTTTTGGTGTTCCCTCGGGACTTTCTTGCTCTGCTCCCCTTGCTGTTCTGTTGCAAGCCTTTAGTGTTTTGCCTTGGTGTGGTGGGGTCAGATCAGGTGTAATTTCCCGCACTGTGTCTCCATTGTTGTCCCTCGTAGGGCTATGGGACAGTGAGGGATCTTGTGTCTCATAGTGAGGCCAGCCATATGGTCTTCTGTGCATTGGCTGCTCTGAGGGGTATCGTCAAGGCTTGGTGGCCATGGTGTGCTCTACTCTCTCTTCCACCCCCTTCATTTGCTCCTGTGTGCTCTGATCAGACTTCTTTCTCCCTGAGCTGTAGCTTCAGTGCTGTCCTCTGAAGTGAATTATTCTGCAAGGAGGTGGGTCTGTCCACGTAGTTGGGATTGAGGCTGGTCCCTCAGACCTTTCTACTGGTTCCCTGCTTCATGCCGGTATGCTGCATTCACATCTTGGAGCACCGGGGTTGAAATCTGGTTGGTCCCTCTTTCCCCGTGGAGATATATAAACAATACCCTCCCCTTAGGTGGGTTAGTGTTCTGTTCCCCCGCTACCCATCCCCCCCCCCTCCACACACACACACACACACACTCCTTTTTAGTTGGCTACTACATGTGTCCCTGGATTTGGTCTGGCCCCTGCCATACTAACTGGACCTCATACCAGGAATGTTTGCATACAGAAGCTTTTTCCCTATACCCCTTCTGCAATTTTTTTTTTAAGCTTACCTCAGCGGACTCATGTTGTACTTGTCCTTTTGTGCTTGGCTTACTTCGCTCAGCAGGATTTCCTCCAGTTCTTCCCATGTGGCGATGTGCTTCATGCATTCATTGCTGCTTTTTAGGGATGTGTGGTACTCCATTGTATGTATATACAACAGCTTTCCAATCTATTCATCAGAGGAGCTTTTAAAAAAAATTAAGAACTTGTTTTCTGAAAATGCCTTTAATCTACCTTTCTGTTTAATTAGTAATTAGAATATAGAATTCGAGCTTGGAAATCAGTTTCCTTCAGAATGTTGAAGGCATTGCTT